GGAAGGCTGTATGGTGCTATCTCAGAAGGATGCATATAGAAATAGCATTTGACCCAGCAATTCCTTCCACTACAGGGAATATACCCTAAAGAAACCATAACCAGTAACCAAGCAGATATATGCACACACGTACTTATTGCGGCTTTGTTCACAATAGCAAAGAGTTGGAAACAACCCAAGTGCCCATCAACAAACAAATGGATAGAGAAGCTCTGGTACATTCACACAAAGGAATACTATGCTGCAGTGAAAAACAAGGAACTAATGAAATATTATTCAAAATGGGTGACCCTCAGTCACAAAAGGACAAATACTGCATAGTGCCACTGTTATAGAACGGGACTGACATCATGGTTGGAATGAGGCTGAGAAAAATTGGATAAACTATGTAGACTGCATTGAAAACAATGAGGGAGAAAACTGTTTAAAAGGGATATATGATTAGGTATTATCATGACAGGAGTCCAGAATGAAGGCTGCATAGTGGAGTGGATTTAGGGGGAGGGATTATATAACAATGAAAGAATTTTTCTTTTCTTTTTCAAAGAGAAGAGTGAAAGGGGGTGGGGGGAGAAAAGTGCAAAAAATGAATGAATGGAAATCCAAAGTCTCTCTAAACTTTCATTAAAATTAATAAAGAAAAGAAGCAGCAGCAGCAGCTGTGCTACAATCCCGAAAGGCATGTGGTTCAAATCCATTACCTGCTCTGTAGGAGAAGGATGGATAATCTCCTCTTGTGTGATTAACGACCTCGAAAACTCAGAACGGCCTGCTATAGGTTGGTTCTGACTTGATGGTACACAACAACAATAACAACAACAACAGTGACATATAGTATGTAAGGAGCTACGTTTTGAAGTTCAAATCCACCAGTTGCTGCTTTGTATTAAAAGGATAAGCTCCTCTTGAGAGATTTATAGTCTGCCAAGAACCCTCTAGAGGGTCAGGCATGAGTTAATTCCAACTCAGTGGCAATAAGTTTGAGTGTATGGAGGTCAATAATATTTGAAGGCTCTTCATTTCACAGTGCTACATTAGTGGTTATTATCTAATACAATTTTCCCCTCTTATTTATGAAACAAATAGAAACAACAGGGAGGAAAGGTCACATTCTTTGAGGAGCTAGACAAGTGTTCTTAGAAGTTGATCATAACTCTGGATTTCATCAGGCAAAGGAGGAAGGACAAGATCTTAGGCTTCTCTCAGCTAGGGATTTACACACACACACACACACACACACACACACACACACACACACACATAGATACACACACCCTGCCCCCAACCCCAGTTCGCTTTTCTCTTTGAAAAAGAAAAAGAAAAAATTTCTTTCATTGTTAATACAATCCCCTCCCCGACTCTTTTTACTAGGTTACCAAATGCTCACTGTGGCCAAGTCAGAACTGACCCATAGCTGACCCTCCAGCAGGCTTTTGGGCAACTGTTAATCATTTGGGAGACTGTCCATCTTTCTCTTTTGGAGCTGCTAGTAGATTTGAATGGCCAGGGGAGCACTGTTCTTGGGGTAGCTGCACTACTCCCCACCAAAACAAACTAGTTCCCAACAAATCGAATCCAGTTAAAGGCAACCTTGTGTGTGTAGAACAGAACTAGGCATAGGATTTTCAAGGCTGTTGATGCCCAGAAGTGGATCACCAGGCTTCTGAGTGGGTCAGAATGGCAACCTTTTGGTTAGTAGGTAAGTATTTAACCACCAGGGGTTCCTACTAGATTATGTTATCTCATACAAACTATCAAAAATGACACATGCGTCCTTGGGTTGAATGCTGTTGTGATGGACCATTAGGTCGGAAGCAACTCATAGCTGACCCTCCGGTGGATTTTCAGAGGTTGTTAATCGTACGAGAGGCTGCCCATCCTTCTTACACATTGGGATGAATAGGAGGTGTGAATTTATCTTTAAGCTGCTGTAAACATCAATTCTGTTCAAGTCACCAATTTAAAATTTCAGTATCTGATTCACTAAACCGTAGATTTCATTACAAAAGACTAAAAGTCTCATGTAGCAATAATGTCAGTGTGGAATTAAGGACAGTTTTCACTTCGGGACAGATGTGAGTGGAATTTCCTTGGCTATAGAAAGTTGATTTTGCAAGATATCAATGAAGTTCTGTAAAGCATGATAGGTTTGTCATACCACTTTCATTGCAGACTATCACACCTAATTTATAAAAGATTAATTTTCATTTTAGAAAATACACATTTGGACATTCAATAGGCTAAAAATATTTTTTAGAGAAATAAAGTCAAATACTTTAGAAAAATAATGACATGCAGCATAAGACTCAGAGAATTTTTTGTTTCTATTCTGGTTCTAACTCTTACGAAGCAGCCTTTGGCAAATTACAGAAGACATCTCTGAACCTTGGTTTTCTTGTATATGCTATGAAGATAAAAATATCTGTCCACAGGGAGGTTGTCAAGATTATATGTGTTAACATATGCAGGGCTTCAGTAAGTATTCCTAATGTTTTATTTTAGCTACTCTGATTTATTCCAAGTAGGACCAGATTTTGAGTTGTAAGAACATTGTGGCAAGTTGAGACACTTAAATAATAATAACTGATAAGTTATTGGCATTTCAACAAGTAAACATCTCCATGAGATGTGTCTAAGAGAGCTCTAGAATACACAGAAAAAACCCCAAGAGTTCATCTATCTCACATGAATATCTTCAGTTAAAATCCATACGTGTCCAGGAGTGGTGAGAAGTATCCTTCACAGGGATCAATTCTACAGGCTTAGGAAGTGTGGTGAGGTGCAAAAAGTACAGATTTTGGAAATAGAGATTTGCATCTGTCCATTTCTAACAATTACCCTTAAGTTTTTACTTTTAGTTAATAAAAACATTATTTTAAAACTTTTCATTGTAATTTAAGGTTAAGTTTACAAGTTAATTTCCCATTCAATAATTTATACACATTTCTTGACATACTTCCAACTTGTTCCCTGTGTTTTCTCCTTTTCATTCTCTCCTTCCTGCCTTCTAAGCAGGATGGGCAAATGTTGTTTGGACAAATTCTGTGCTTTTGAGATTGTATGGGTGGTTGTTTTAAAGTGAGTGTTCTTCCTGGGTCTTTTTAATAACCTTTTAGGCTTATTTGTTATTTGGCTGCACGTTTAGTCACAGGGTGATTTCAGGTCCAGGTTTACATGGTCCCAGGGCTTCTACCAGTTTTTCTCAGAGCAGTAAACTAGTCATTTTTTAAAAGTGTCTTTTTAAAAAAATGAGGATTTGAGTGAATGTTTACAGAGCAAATTATTTTTTCCATACTCTTCAATGTTTTAATCTTTCCATCTCTGTTGCCCACACAGAGTTATTGTAAATATCAGGAAGATTATATGGAAAGCACCTAGCACAGTGCCTGGTTCATACCAAGCCAAAGCTCTTGGCACCAAGTCAATTCTGACTCATGTATTACAGAGCAAAGCTGCTGCATGGCTTTCGTGGTTGTAATCTTTGTAGATACAAATCATGGGGCCTTTTCCTGTGATGCTTCTGGGTGGATACTAACCACCAACTTTTCATTCGTTAATAAGGCAAACTCATTTCATGGAGTTAACTCTTATTTCTAGCGAAACTCATAGAGTTTCTGAGGCTGTAAATCTTTACGGGAGGAAGTTGTCCATCATTTTTCCCGAGGAGCACCTGGTGGATTTAAACTTTCAAGCTTTCTTTCAGCAGCCTAACACAAAACATACTAGCAGTCAAGTGCAAACTGTTGCACCATCCAGGAGACTTTCTTGGTACTTAAGAGGGTCACAATACACAGAACTTTAATTCCCAGGCTAGCAGTGAAAAGTTTGGCTTCTGCTTCTAACCTTGAAGCCTTAGGCAAGTCATTTAACTTGTCTGAATCCCAGCTGCACAAACATTTCTTCAGTTCTTAGTTGATATTTAGGAGTGAAAGTACTCAGTCTTGCTGTGTGTTGATTCAATTTAGAGCAAGGCATTAATCTCTTTGTGCCACAGAATCCTCAGTTATAAAATTAAGATTAACAAACTGGTGCTGGAACTATCCAATGGGAAAAAAACACACAACCACACAACCTATTACATATCATTGGTATTTTTTACAGATCAAGAAATGGAAGCACACAGCAGCAAGAAAGAGAACAGAGCTAGTATGTAGTCAAGCAATGATTTGAACCCAGGAAGTCTGAGTCCAGAACTTGTGCTCAGAGCCTCTGTAGTCTGCTGCTCCTCCATATTTCCATAAACCTATAATTCATTCTCTTATTTTACCACTCAAAGCCTCGCAACAAAACTTGTGTGCACAATGTGTTGTAATTTGGTGGTCAGAAAAGCTTTGTCCCCAACAACAATAAAAACCTAAACCAGTATGTTTCCTCTTTTAAAAAGAAAAATTAGGCAATTTATCATATGTTCCTTTTTTTGTCTTGGCGGCCAGGAAGTGCAGAATCAGATTCTAGCCTCAATCCCAGCCTCCAAATGATTTCCTTCTTCATATATCTTTGTTCTTTATTTTCCATTTTAATTCCTCTTTTTAAAAAAAAAAAGTGAACATTTTCATTCATATCTGTTGTTAATCAAGACCTTTCTGAAAAAAGGTATTTGTGAACCCATGGGATAAAAAGCAAATAAAAACCTGAAATCTGCAAGATAAATTTTAGTCTTATGCCTTAAACTGTCTCACTTGCCAAAAGAAAAACTATCAAGGGGAAATTGAAAAGAAGTAATTTAAGAGCTTTTTCAACAGGGGTTGGCATGGAGGTGGGTGGGACTGGGAGTGGAAAATCAACAGAATAACAGAACCACCAACACCAACAGAGGCCAAGTCAAATGAAAGGGGTAATAAATATTTCTGGGACTAGAACCATTTGTGCTTTCCCTGGCTGGAACCTATCATTTCTTAATTATATCCTGTGTGTGTTTTGCAAGATGTAAGCTGCTGTCAGGAGGAAGGACACCCTCAGACTGGGGAGGGGCCACAGCCTGCCCCTCAGTCCTCACATACCTGTACAGAAGTGAAATCCCCCGAGGCGCAGGCACCCAGAATAGCAGCACCCACAAGAACAGACTCCACCTCTTGGGACAGCACCACGGGCATGCCTGCACAAGACAAGGCCACACCTCAGTTAGGGAGCAGGGCCAGGCACTGTGCTGAGGAGCCAGGAAGAAGCCGCTGCAGCAAAAACACCTGACTTCAGGTTAGCACCAGGCATCCCCAGCCACTCCCAGCAGCTCCTTATTCCTCGGGACCACCTGGTTCTAAAGGATTTCACTGCCTGTGCCTGCTGGTGCAGTAGCCTAGAGCCCCATGGGAGCCAACACTGTATACATCAACTCATGAAAGAAAGGTGCCTGCCACTTGGTTCAAGCTCAGTTCAACAAACATTTACCAAGTGCTTGGCTGTGCCCAGAGAATGTGGAGGTGAATCACACTATGTTCTAGTCTTCAGATCTCAGAGGGAGAGGGATGAGAAGGAGGTAAAGTGGTTGGTTCTCTAACTGAGATAGGCTTTTGTTGTTGACAGGTACTGTCAAGTGCCACCCAGTGACTCTGTAAACAATGGGTCTGAATCTTGCTCTATCCTGTGCTCTCCTCATGTGAGATATACTAAGAACGAAATAGTAAGAGAGGGTGTGATTAGTCTAAGTGGCTTCTCATCTCTGTTAGGTGAAAGGCCCTACAGGGCTGACAAGGCCTGATAGGATCTGCAACTTTCTTCATCTTGATGTCCTCCTTGCTCTTCCTTGAGTATGTATGTTCAATGCTCTTGCTTTTTCTGTGCCCTCTGGGTGGAAACTTCCTCCAGGATGTCCTCCCAGCACCCACAGCCTCCTTCAAGTCTTTGCCCAAATGTTATCTTTTCACTAAGCCTTTCTAATCATCCAATTTAAAATGCCAACTTATCCTAACTTGCTCCTTCATCCCGTGGTCCACTCCTATGATTAGTTGTGGAATAGGCTCTATTTCCCCCCACTTCTCTTTCCTCAGTGCATTTAACCTATTTATCTTGTATATTCTCTCTCTTACTCTGTGACCGTCAGCTCTGTGAGGGTCTGGGATTTTGCCCTGTCCACTGCTGTGTCTCTGGCATTTAGAACAGTTCCTAGGACATGGAAAGTGCTTATAAATATATGATGAGAGATTGAATTTCTGGGGTAGGGGCGGCAGGTGGCCAATTCCCACTGTACTAGACAGACGATGAGGTTTAAACAGGGGTCTGGAATATGAGTAGGAGCTCAGCAGGCAGGGATGAGCACTCCACATGCAAATTCAGGGGCTCAGGATGAGCAAAAACAATTCAGAGTTTAGACTTTATATAAGGATACTGGCACATGCAACAGTGAGACACTTAACTGCTAAACCAGAAGGTCAGTGGTTCAAACCCACTAGTGGCACTATGGGAGAAAAGACCTGGATAAAGGCTTCTATAAAGGCAGATGCTTAAGAAGCCTTATGGGGCAGACCTACTCTATCATGTGAGGCAAATATGAGTCTTATTGGACTTGATGGCTCACAACAACAGACTTTATATTTGGCATCCCTGAGTGATGCACATGTTAAGGATTTGTTTGTTATTAGACGCCTTTGAGTAAATTATAACTTGTACCAACTCCAAGAACTAAAGATGGAAGCCTTTCCTTCTTCTGCACTAGCCTCACAGTATCTGCCATGCTTACATCCATTGTTTCAGTCACTCTGTGACTTGTGGTTGTATGTGCCATCGAGGCACCTGTGACTCATGGCAACGCTAGGTACAGCAGCTCTGAAGCTGACCTGAGCCAGTCTCACTGATGTCAACCTACAACAGACTCTGGGACTACTAATCAAAATACCGGTGATTCAAACCTGTTGGCAAGAAAAAGAAAACCCTGAAGAAGTGCTTTCAACATGCCACATTCTTGGAAACCCCAAAGAACATTTCTACCCCGCCCTCATGAGGCTGCTGTGAATTGGAATCCATGTGATGGCAATTAACACCAGTCAGAGATGGTGAGGATGGCCCAGGAGACGTCAGGGCTCAGATCTGTTGTGGAGATGACAGGGCTCAGATCGGTTGTTTAGAATGTTGTTGTTATGGGTTGTAGTTGACACAACAGCCTCTAATAACACTATCACCACCAAGTATTTCTATCTATACAGAGGGTTACTCTTAGTGGCCACTGAGTCAGCCCTTCCCTCAGGATGACCCCTTGCACATCAGAATGAAACCCCGCCCGGTACTTCACCCCCACAGTCTGTCTCCACAGACAGCTACAAATGGGACCACTGTGATCTTTAGGATTTTTATTGGGTGATTTTTTTGGAAGTCGTTCTCCAGACCTTTCTTCACAGTACATCTTGGCTGAGAAGTCAGCTGCAACTTAGTCAGCATCATAGTAGTGCTTAAGCTTCTCCTGATAGGCAGCATCTGGTGGAAATGTATGTGCATGTGCCGACATGTATATAAATAGATTTCATGTTTTTAGCATATAATGTTCACATGCGTGTAACATGAATAGCATGCACATGAGGCTAATTAATGCAAGAAGGTGTTGCTTTGTACACAAAAATGTACAATTTGTGCACAATTTACAGAACTATATAATATAGAGAGAGATATGATACAGTAATATGTATTGGCTAATCAGTAGATTGGAGGCAGGAGTGGCATCCACTTTGTAAACAACATGCCTCGGGAAACTCTATGAACTTTGATAAATGTCGAGAGTTGCAGAGGGGCTTCAGGCCTTTGTTCATAGGGTCGCTATGAGTTGTGCTCGACTCAAAGGCAATCAACAACAATAATCAGTAGATGGCAACAGACTCCAAAGAGATTAAGTTCTATGAGCAGGCAAAAGATCTAAGATCTTCCTCTACTCAAGACACAGGAAATATTTTTCCAAATATTTTGTTTTCTTTCTTCTCAGACTTTCCTCCCCTGCACTCTCACTACCTTTTCCCTCCTCCTTCTATCCCAGGACTGGATTAGCTACTCCAAACCTCAGACTAAGGGGACTGGTAACAGAACTCCCCCAGAAGCTCAGGGGTCTCCCTCATACAGGAGGGCCAAGCCTTGATACTTTGTTGACGGGGAGCTGCAGGTATAAAGTGAGGTAGGCTTTCTGAGAAAAGCTCTGTTCCGAGTTTGCTTCCTGGTTCCACTGGCTCTTTTCAACCTTCTGAAGTTACTTATTTTGATCTTAGTTTTCCCCAACTGTAAAAGAGGAATGATTGTTAATAAGACTTACCTCAGAAGTTTGCTATAAGGATAAATGAAAGAATATATATACAGTGCTTAGCATATTTCCCAGTCTAGGATAAGCCCTTAAATTCATGGCTACTGTAACTAGAGTTAATACTGATGGCTAGTGAAGCTTAACAACACTCATTTCTCCTGGGTCAGAAGCTGGATTGGTGGTGTAGTGTGGGAATGAGATCAAGCAGACCAGACTGGTGAGAACGGATGGGGGTGGGTACTGTATGGTTTTTGCAGAGTCCTTAGGAGTGTACCAATTCCAATGAGACTTCAGCCACCAGGTTCTATGTGGGCCCCATAGCTTCCCCATAGTCCTGGAGCCTTGTAGAGGACAACACCTCCAAATGTCATTTACTCCCCAGGTCCTTATTACCCTGTCAGTAGCTTCACCAGTTCTAAGCCAGGGAGGAGTTACCTTTGGGAGGTAGCTTTTTGGAACTCTTAAGGGTTCCAAGTGAACTTGGTTAATCCCCCATCAGCTCTCAAGTTAACATCCCAAAGTTTTCTTGAGGCAGACCACCAGATTTGAATTCTGGTTGCCTCCGTGAATTCTGGTTAATTTAGTGGTGTAGTCCATAAAGAGTTATGTGGCTAACACAAAGGTTGTGTCTTCCTGGCAGTTGGAATCTGCCTGCAACCTCCACGGGAGAAAGATGAGTGATCTCCTCTTACGTGATTTACAGCCTCAGAAACCAGCTATGAATTTATTCCAACGCAACTGCTATCGGAGTGCTTATCTTAAATTATAGGTGTGTGCCTATGCTTGCATCTAGCCTCTCCATGCTTTAGTTGCCTTCCCTGAAAAATGGGTTTAAAGTTCCACCCACCTCATCGATGTGCTTATAAGGATTAAAAGAGCAAATATAAGTAAGATACTTCTATCAGTTAGGAGGCAGCTCTGGTGGCCTAGTGGGAAAGGAGTTATGCTGTCAACCCCAAGACATGCAGTTCAAATTCACCAGTTGTAGGCGAAAGATGGGTCCTCTCCTCCTATGCTATTTACCTTCTGGAGGGTCAGCTATGAGTTGGTTCTCACTCCATGGCAATGAGTTTTTGGTGTTGAGAATTTAAGCTACATAAGGAACTTAAAAGAGTATATTAGCCAAAAATAACTCACAAACCCATAAATTATTACTATTATTATTATTAGTTATTATTTTCCTTTTTTCAAACTTTTTTTACGATTTTCCTTGATCAACATCTTATCTCTGAGATCCTTCCTTACCTTTTTCATCCTCTGTGAAAGTAATCCACTACTGGATGAGAGCCATTTATTTTTTGAGTTCACTCCTACCTCTTTTCTGATTTTAGCCCTTGGTGCAAACTATGTCTGAAGTTCCCTGGCCTTCTGGCTGAGTCCCTGGCTGAGCTCCTGTTAGGCAGGCCTTTACAGAGGCCTAGGGACCAACACCCTGACCACCAGGAACTGGTACTCTGACTCATGACGGCCCATTTTTGGCAGAGTAGAACCTCACTCCATGGAGTCAAAGTTGTTTTGTTTTGCTTTTTCTTTTTTAAATTTCTGGAGTATTAATGACTTTTCATTTGGGTACAAGTTATTAAATGATAAATTTGTATAATTTAATTCTTAATAAAAACCTATGTTTGAAAGTGAGCAAAATTCTTAAAAGCATACATCATCTCTTGCCAGCCAGGGTGAACCAGACCCATTGTATCACTTTCCATAGAGTTTTCAAGGCTGATTTTCAGGAGCCAATCTCCAAGCCTTTGTTACTGAAATACCTCTGTATGGATTTGAACTCTCTACCTTTTCCTTAGGGAGCTCTGCTGGTGTAGTGGGTTAGCTGCTGACTTCATTAATTATTTGCTGTTCCCGGTTCCACAGCCTATCTTCCCCTCTGT